TCTACTATACACTGGCTACAGTCCTCCACGCTGGGCATAAATATTAGATACAAGTTATATATGAATTTCATTACAACCCTAGAATCGGTTAAACTCTATAAATATTAAGTCAATGCCTACGAGTGACATGATTCCAGGGATGAGCGCAAACCTAGAGATGAACAGGATATAGTTTATACAGCCTTTTCCAGGAGGACATTTTCTCTATATAATAACAGAAATTAACAACAGGGGCCTGAGGATGAATAAATTGCGGTAGCAAATGCAACAATAAAGGTTCAGAATACTCGGGAGGATCAACAGACAGAACATAAGTAGTTTGGGAGGGGACATCAGAACGTGTTTCTGGAAGGTAGTACTTAGAGAGGCCACGAGGCCAAAACGTTGACAAGTGAGAATTTCCAGGAACAGTGAAAGTATGTCAGAGGACAACAGGAACAAAGTGAGACAGGCGAGGTAGAGGACAGAGTTTCCCCCCAGCCATCATCTAGTTTCAAATGTATGGATAGATGATGAAAGACATTCTCACAGTGTGAGAAGCCTTAGTAGTTAGCAAAATGAGTTGAAGGTCTTCCTAAAACAATTTACTTTGGTGACTCTTTAATTTTTTCCTGGAAACTTTTCTATGAATTTGTAAAAAACAATTGAGACTAGTGACTTTTTTTCCTTTCTCACAAGAAACAAACAAAATTCTGACTACTTAGCGAGCATGCTGACAGAAGACAGAAGGCAGGATGTCAATGAATCAATCTACTACTGTTTTCTTTCTATGTGTGGCTTAAAAGAGGTAAATGGTGGATCCAACAGCCTGACTAGCTGAGGCAAGTTGGGGGTTAAATAAAAGCATTCATTAAGCTCCAAGCCTCAGGACTATACCAAGTGATTCTCATGGTGGTCCTTTTCACCAAGGAGTCACATTCAGCTCAGGAAAACTGAGGCACATGGACGATAACAGCTCAAGCTGACGAAGCCAATGAAACATGGACTAGCTTTCAATCTAGGCCTGTCTGAGCTCCAGTTTTCCCTACTGTTCACTCATACATAGTACAAGGCAAGTTAAACAGTAAAACTGTGAGGCATGGAATAATAAAGGAAATATTCAGAACAAGTTTTAGAATGGCTTAGAAATCAAGAGATATCAAATTTAGGAATGCGTCTTAGTCCAGCTTTAATAGTGACAATAACATCTCACTTAAAAAACGCCAAGTAAGCCAAATTCTAGCTCTGATCTATTAGCTAGGAAGTGAGCCCCGAGAGAATAAGGGTATTTGTATTTCCTGCACCTGAAGCGAGATCATGACTGATATGTAGCAGTATTCAGTGTTTGTTGAAATAATGAAAAACCATGTAAGCTAAATTTTCATTTGAATACATATGAAAGTACAGAAATAAAAGACAGCAAAGAAATAAGTAAAATAATTTAAGCTGCTAGCTGCTCCCTGCTCCTTTGAGCTCCTTTTAGCCTCTTAGCAGAAACCAAAACCACCACCGCAGAGGTACCAAGTGAAGCCACAGGTTATCACACACTAGTGTCAGCTTTTCAGGACAGGGTAAACAAAAGGATGCAGAGAGGCTTCTGCATTATGTAGCATCCGTGCAGATCATCGAATTCCACTGAGATGGGCTCCAGAATTCTGGCTTACTGTTTTTAATGTTTCAAACTGCTCTGAGCAGTGTATGCCATGACTGCTTTAAGGAAAGGAAAACAGTTTCTTAATCCAGATACTCTAAACATCATCAACAGCTTCTCTATCACAGATGTCAAGGAGGGAAACAAACGTCTAAAACGTATTAACGTAAAGAAGTAACAGTACGTTTGCAAATGGTTTTTCTTTTCCTAATTTTGACACTAGGGATATATTTAAAAAACAACAAAGGGGCATTAAGGGGAAAAATCCCTTGGGAGGAGAGAAGCCTTTCCACAGAAAACACTCTTCAGAGAGGAGGAACAGGCCTCACAGGCTTTCCTTCTCTATTTTTCAGCAGCGTATCTAATAATTCTTCTTTGACGGGACCAATGAATAACCGTCACTTATCACAAAGCATCTTCCTGATACGTGCTTTCTATATTGCTTTCTTCTCCACAGACAGTTCTTCAAGCCGCACGAGCCCTGCCGCTACAATCTGTCTTATTTCTATTACATTGCACGTCTTCCACAGAATATCTTCAGGATCAATTTAATAAACTCTTCTGCTTTCCAAAAACTGTTCCCAAAAGGCGGTACTACCGCACCTCAACCAACATTAAAGGAATTATTTTCTTGCTTTCTCGCTGAGTTCTACCGTCCTTCTGTGTTTCAATTCCTAACACTAGAGTTAATTGTTCAGGGTGACTTCATCGAGCGTGTCACATTAATGGAGAAGACACTGAATACTTCCTTCCTGTCAATTCGTATCCACTTGGTGCAGTGTACATGTCCCTAACCTCTATCAATAACCATAGACAATATTTTTCTTGCCTTTTGAAAATTCACTACTGCAGCAATTTTGTAGCCTTTCAAATACTGATTTTAGCATCTCAGAGATGTTGTTGTTGTTGGTGCTGGTGCTGAAATGGAAGCCCCTTTGTATGAGGCAGGTGCTCTAGCACTCAGCTCCATTCTAAGCTTGTCAAAATGATGTGGTATTTGTTTTTGAAATAGGGTCTTACTGTGTACCTCTGGCTGGCCTCGGACTTGCTTTGTAAACTAGGCTAGTCTGGACCTCACTAAGATCTGCTTGCCTCTGCCTCCTGAGTACTGGGATTAAATGCATGTACCACCATAATTAGCCAGGCTGATTTTTTTTTCCTGTCAGTACTGGTGATCAAACCCCAAATCCAGAGGCTCATATTAAACACAGTAGGCAAGTGCTCTACCTGTTAGCTATTCTCTCAGCCTAAGAATATTTTTTTTCCTGTCATTGAAAATAGATTTTTTTCATACAACATATTTTGATTAGTTTCCATGCTCCTGACTCTTGTTCCTCTCCTATCTGAATTTACCTCCTTTCAGTCTTTATTAGAAAACAAACAGGTATCTAAGGAATAATACAATAAAATACAATATGAGAATAGGTCAAAACAAACAAGGAAAAAAAAAAAACAAAGAAAAAGCACACGAAACTCATATAGACCTAGAGACACACTCTCACACACACAGAAGAATTCTACAGAAACCCAAACCCAAAATCGGAAGTCATAATATTTACAAGAACTCGTAAGGTTAAAACACAAAATTACATTGCCAGGCAGTGGTGGCACATGCCTTTAGTCCCAGCACTTGGGAGGCAGAGGCAGGTGGATTTCTGAGTTCAAGACGAGCCTGGTCTACAGAATGAGTTCCAGGACAGCCAAGGCTACACAGAGAAACCTTGTCTCGAAAAACAAAACAAAACAAAACAAAACAAAAATTACATTGAACCTCCAAAGATTTGCTGAATTGTTTCTGTAATGGACATGGGGCCTACCCTTAAGAGTGGTTTGTTTCTTCTGTGAGCCTACTTTGGAGAAAACTAATTTTTCAATTGCAAGTGGCTATAAACTGAAGAGAGCTTCTGGGTTAGGGATAGGGCATGTGCCCCCTTCTCTTTTCTGCTCTAGGACCCCATGTGGTGTAGACCTATGCAGGCCCTGCGCATGCTGTCACAGTTGCTGTGAGCGCCTATGTGTGCCAGTCCTGGTGTTTCTAGAATGACCAAGAATATTTTTTAATGTTCATGTTAAGGTTAAAATATTTTTATTTTCACTTTTAGTTTAAAATATTTTCTACTGTAAGTGCAAACTATGAAATTAGAAATACATGCACTTTAACATTGGAAGACAATGCAGTTTTAGGTTCACCTGATAGTCTAAGTTTTTAAGGAACATTCCAAATAGACTGATTCTGCCAACACACACTTCTAGACTGTGCTGCTGGATAAGAGAAGCCAAGGAACCAAAATTGTTGGTTTTGTTTGTTTGTTCGTTTTTTAAAAACAGAATAGAGAAACCCAGAAAGTTGTGTCCTGCTCATCTTTAGTTCTTCCTGAGAAAATTTCCTCTTACTCAGTATGTGAGTTGAACTTGCCATCCTTTTGCCATGTTTTAAAACCATAAATAGACCTCACTTTAAAATCAGTGACAAACTCAATTAAATTACAAACAGGGAAACACCATAAAATGCATCTTTCATAAACACCACACATAAGATACATGAAAACAATATTAAAGTGGATGATGTTGTTCTCCACTTTATGGAGAACATATGGGGGTGAAACCTTCAGTCCTAAAGTAACAGTTCTAAGTATGTAACACATTAAAGACCTCTATTACGGTAACATCAAATCAAATCAGAGTACTGCAGTATGATACTCTCTCCCTTTGCAAACATGAAAATGCCCTATAATTTATGTGAACTATTTGGTCCTCTAACTAATAAACTTCCTCCTTTAAAAAGTGGGTAAGGCGTTCCCATTCCGTGTCTGGGTAGAGACTACATTACTCAGTTAAGGACAAACGACTTGGGTGCAAGGGTGGGCAATTCACAAGTCACATAACAAAGTATGTAATATTGCAGAGAATTTTAGCAAAGTGTTTTAAATTCTTTGACAAAAGCATTAAGACAATCTTGCTGGGGAGACATTTTCCAATTTACACACAGAAACCAAACACATAAATTCTGATCGTGGCCTGGTGATTATCTTAATTTGGGGGAATAACCGAACTTGTGACTTGAAAACACATCCCCAAGGCTGTAGGAACTCTCTTTGAGCATGGTCCAAACACCTTTCTGGCTCTCATCAACACGGGAAGTGGCTTGGACACCCCCCAAACATCATCCTACCCCCACAGGAAGTGAGTTATAGTTCCCCCTCCCCTATGACAGCATGTCTCCCTTCCCCCAACCGGAAGTGAGGCGCCCCCATTCAGTGGGCCTTAAACCAAGACAAACCAATAACAGCAGCAGCAAAAGAGGGATGATCTTCAAAGGGGGAAGGACATCTTGACTGTGGCCACCCCCATGCTCGTCTTGCTTACTAACCTGCTGACGGTAGGGGCAGGCAGGGGCCTGCGGGACTAATGAAAGTCCCTTGCACAGAGGACAATTCCCTCAGCCCCTCGCAATCGCCTTCACTCTTCACTCCGTCGTCTCACAGCTTGACAGAAATTCCTCCGCAGTACTTTATTTTGGTGTCTTTTCTTACTCTTTACCTATTCACTTAGTCACCTCCAGATAGGTAACTTCTTTTATCGTGATAACACTGAAAATTGTTCCGGTGAGGAGAGACGTGAAATGTTATACCCAATACTTTCAAAGAAATGAAGGGATTATTTTGCCCAATGCGGCGAAGGACTACGTGACTACGCAAGGTGAGACTCACTTTCGCGAAGGTTCTTGGGAAATGTAGTTTTCATTTTCATTGCTAAGGTTCTCAAAAAATATTGGGACTTAAATTGGTAATTATTGTATACTGGAGTTTTAGAGAATAGTTATTCTGTACTTGACGACTGGCTGACTTAAGGTGATTCGGCCCTGAAAGAGTCCAGATCTGCGCTGTTGGTTTCCACTGGCGTTTAATTGAACCCAAATTCCCCGTCACATGGATGCAAGGTCCCGGTCGCCCCGCCCTCTAGCTTTGGCTCCACCCCTTAGCCAATCAGACCGTCTCTAGATCCTGTTCTCCGGATATTGGCACTCAGAGAGGCGTGGCCTCTTGTCAACTCCTCCCCTGGGACCGGGAGGCGAGCTCGGAGACCGCGGAGGTTTGGTGCGCGCGCGGGCGCGGGCGCGGGCGCGGGCGCGGGCGCGGCCTCAAGAAGTGAAGCGTCCAGGGTGCGCGCGGCGGGGCGGCGTGCGGGGCTGGGAGGAGCAAGCGGACTGGTGGGCTGGGCGGACGGAGAGCGGCCGGGAGCGCGCTGTGGACTCCGCGGCCGCGAGTAGTTAGTTAGTTGTGTCAGTTGCTCTGTGGAGGCGTCCGCGATCACCAGAAAGGGGACGGGACAGGCGGCACTGGTGAAGATCGCGACGGCGTGTGCTCCCCTCAGGTAACGGGGGCAGGGTTGTCCACATACCCTCAGGTCCCTTTCCCACGCGCGCTGGCTTATGGGGCCAGGGTCGCCAAGAGGTGAGGACGCGGACCTAGGGGAATCCGGACTGGGTGGCGCCGCAGGGGCTCGGCAGCCGGTGCGTCCTGCGGGGCGCGGGCTGTAGCGCCCCGGCCACCCACGCGCCCCAGGGGCGCCGCGAGCCCTCTCATGCCCCCCGCCGGCCCAGGCCTCGTTACCCTGGCTGCGATGGTCCCGGTAGCGCGGCGCCCCCCAGAGGAGGGAAAGTTAGAACCTGGAGGCTAGGGACTTCCCGGGGCTGGGCTGCGAGGCTCCAGGGGAAAGTGAAGCGTTAGAGGAGCTGGGGACGCGGAGGCTGGGGCAGGAAGGGCTTCTGCCTAGTCTGTATGGTCGCCTCACTCCCAGGCTTGGGAGGATCAGGCTCAGCCTTGCAGGAGCAGTCAAGACAGGACGGGTGGCTCTGTGCCGGCTCACTTCACGCTCTGGCTAGTGAGCCCCTAATGCGCGCAGGCTTCCTAGGTTGCTTAGGGGTTTGGAATTTTGAGAGGCTGGGTTAGACATTTGTTTTTCTTTGCCCTTTGGCTTATGGGGTCTTGCGGATTTCCTTTCCTCCTTCGAAGAGGACTTGCCATCAGAACTGGGTCCCCTTCTCGTTATCCCCCATCTTATGGTCCATCAGTTGGAGAGCTTGATTTTGTTCTTGGACTGCATTAACGACTGCTGAGAGCAATATCAGAGAAGTAGTCCGCCCTCCCGTCCCCCTCCACCAGATCCCATGTCTGCAGTCCGATTTTTAAGGACCCAAATTTAGGAATCAGGGCTGTGGAATGGAGTTATTGGATGGCTGGCGTTGAAGGATAGAGATGAGTTAGAGGAAAACTATGATTTCATCTCTATTGGCCTTGCTATAGAAAACCCAGTACATTTTTCTTTGCCTCTGTTGAATGTGGTAAGAGTACACTCTCAATTAAATACTTGGTGACTTACATAAAAGACTATTTTTAGGTCATTGGATGATGTACATGGACCGCTTTTTCACCTGAATCCGAATTGCTTTGGGTATTTTGTTTGGTGTCCTATCTGTTGATTTGCTTTTCTTTCTCTTTCCTTTTCTTATTTTTTTATTTCCAGCCACAATGCCCTCCCTTTACCTACCTTGGCAAATTAAGAATGTAGTCAAGAAAACACATATTGCTCTCTGCAAAGTGGAAGGAAAAAAAAAAAAAACCCGGAAAGCCCAAACTTGAATTACCCACAAGGGTAAAACTTTCCATGAGCAATCTTGGATACTCTGTTCATGATGGCTTCTTTTGTAATCTCAGAGCATTTTAGATCTTTCAATTCACTGACTACCCTAATTACTTTCCAAACTGCCTGGCACTTTCTTTGGTGACTTCTTCAGTAAACTAATTGCAAGTGAGGTACATTTCTTGGCTTCCAAGTTAGGAGTTAATAGCCTTATCAGAGAGATGAACACTTAGCAATGGAATCAGAGTTCATACCAATGCAAGTGAGTTTTGGCAACGCTCAGCTCACAAACTATGTGAAAAAACAAAGATCCCCTTCCCATAGATGTCAGAGGGGAATAAGAGAAAATATTTCATCTTGTTTCTATTTGGGAGAAAGTAGTATGACTATGTTATGTGGGGAAAGTGGCAAATTATTTTCTTGAAAGCCTTTTTGATTTGTGGTCCTCTTTTCTCCCACCCTGTTTTAGGGACTGACATTTATGTTTGTCTAGTTTCCAGTGTTGTAAGAAGTGTTTTGGTGAGACGAAGAGATAAGCTAGTTTGAGTTGTTAGGGAACTGCCTACTCATTTTGTCTAGTAATAGTGTAGAAAACTTTCACAGTAGTGTTTATACCCCATTAACATGCTGTCAGAATTTATTTTTAAGAGTCTGTCCTGAGGCCCATAAAGAAATAATGCCACTTCGTAACTGTTTTCTGATGGTTACATTAAAAAGTGCGTTCCTGAAACGCATTATATGTGAATGCACATAAACATTTATCTTTGTACATTTATGGTAATGTAAATATTTAAGTCTGAGAGCTTAAAAACTTTTATTTGCTTATTTGCATACATGCCTTTTAACAGCCAGCAGTGCCAACCCTGTTTGCCAAAGAAGTATCAGCCATAAATTCGGGCTTTGGCACATTTCATATAATAACTCTTCTAAATTGCTCCATGGCGAAGCATCATGAGATTAGCATTTGCTTCCTGAGAGAGATTTGTTGTTGTTTTTAACCGTAATGATGTGCTATTTAAGGGGAACAGGTGCTGGGCTCTAGCTGTTTGTGCTGTAACCTGCCAGATCCTACTCTTTTGTTGGATGGGTTGTTAAAGCAATTTAGGAATCACCCTGTGGCCCCTGGCATGCCAAGTGGGAGTTCGAGGCTCCATATCAGTTTTGCTAATCCCCGGTTTGTTTTTTTTTTTCACTGTAAGAGGCAAATGTGGATATGAACTTTATTTTCTCATTTGTCTTTTCCTGTGATTCCTATACTCCAGTCTAGAACCTCTGGTTCAGGCTTCCTCCCTGCTGGCTGGTTTTCCTTGGAGAATTCAAATATTCTAGTAACTTTCAGGCCAAATTCACATTTGTCCAACAAAAGACAAGTATTTGAGTATCTTCTATAGTATTAGGCCTGGTGGTAGGACCTGAATATTTGTAGAATGATACTGTTTTTGCCAGGAGCTTATACTTTAGGAGGAGAGCTAGCTGGTAACCGGTAATTATAATATGGTGTGATATATGACAGGTGTGTGCACAGGTGCCTGTGAATTAAAGTACAGAGGAAGGCTTGTTGACTCAGACTTGGATTCTTGACTGTGGGGGAAGTTCTGGAATCTTAGTGAGTGATTCAAGCTAATCTTGGATAATATATGAATCAACTAAGTTCGGAAGGAGGAAACATATATTTATCCTCATGCTATTGTATTTTTTTAAAAAAAGGAAACATAAGCCATGTATGTAATTTGAAATTTCTAGTGGCTGTGTTTTAACTAATGAAAATTGAAATCAATACAAAGCAGTATACTAAGATATTTAATATTTTCCTTTTCATACAAAGTCTCAAGAATTTGGTGGTATTTTTACACTTTAGCACATTTCAATTAAGACTAGCTACAGTCATGTACTCCCTTTTCTATGCATCGACAGCACAGCTTTAGAACAGAGGCAAATGAAGTAAAAACCACTTATATAAACTAGTCTTAGGAATTTTAGCTTCCACCTTGAAGGCTGTGAAGTTTTAGCTGAAAAGCAAAAACAGGGCTGGAGAGATGGCTTTTCCAGAGGACCTGGGTTTACTTCTGGGCACCTACATGGTGGCTCACAAACATCTGTGGCTCTAGTTCTAGGGAATCTGTCACCCTCTTCTGGTGTCAGAAGGCATCACAGGCAAAACACCAATACACATACAATAAACAACAAAACCATCCCCCTCCCCTGCCAGCCCCAAGCCCTCCTGCAATATAATCAGAACTGGCTTAGACCTATCATTTTGACAGAGAAATGAAAGCTGGGTTAAAAAGGTACAACTAGAAGCAAGAGCAGTGAGAAAGCCAGTCCTGGTGAGAAGTGACATGGAGTGTAGAGGAGGAGTGGATGTAGGAGAGATTTATGAAGTATTTATGAAGTACTAATAGGTTATAGGCTAGAAAAGATTGGGTCTGGTGAGCTGGCTCAGTGGGTAAAGGTGATTGCTGTCAACCCTGGCATCACGTTTTCATCCTTGGGGTGCACATGATAGGACAGAACCCACTCCTCCGAGTTATCATCTAGCCTCCAAATGCATACCATAACACACGCTTCCCTCCACAATGAATGAGTGGATGAATGATGGATGAATGGATGGATGGATGAATGGATGAATGGATGGATGGAGGAAGTCTGAAGATTAAGGATAATTCCCATGTTTGTGTTGGGAACTGCTAGGTAGTAGGGCCAGTAGCTAAGGGAGAGAGTCAGTCATCTATGCCAGATAGAGCAAGGATGGAAAACCAAACCAAACCAGCCAAACAACCAACCAGCCAAACAAGCAAACAAAAAGAAAAAAAACCCAGAAAGACTGAGAGGGTTTATCTGGAAGCTGAGGGAGAATATTTCAAGGACTAGGAGCTATCAACCTGTGTCCTACCATGAAAGGGCAAGTAAGATAAAGTTTGAAAGAATTCTCTGACACTTGGAGATTAAGTTGTCTGAAATAATTTAGAGCAGTTAGTTACATTGTAATGCGTAAAGGAGGCGTGAAGAGTTCAGTACCGCTAGGAGTTCAGGTAATTGAAAAGGATACAGTGTTTTTCTTTTTAGGTTTTCTTGCCTAGGATCTCATGGAGCCCAGGCTGGCTTTTTAAAACTAGCTGTTGCCAAAGCTGACCTTGAACTGCTGATCTTCCTGTCTCTGTCTTCCCAGATTTGGATTGGGACCTTTGCTTATCACCACGTCCAAGCTAGAGTAGTGCTTTTGACCAAGGACTCAGAAAGTGTAAGGAAGCCACATGCTGAAGATTAGAGAACTTTGCCAGAAAAAGCTCTTATAATTTAAGAGTGCTTTGAGCATGCTTATGTGGAACTGGAAAGTTTCAAAGGAGAGAGCAAAGAGTGGGGGAGGGAGGAGAGGAGAGCACAGAGGAAGAATAGGGAGGAAGGTGTGAGGGGGGGGAGAGGGGAAGTAAGGATATGGATATGAATATCCTGGGCAGAGGGAGAGAATTTGGCCCTGGGTGTCTTAGTTAAGATTTCTATCACTGTGATAAACACCACAACTAAAAGCATCTCAGGAGGAAAGAGTTTCACTTTAGTGTTCATCACTGGAGGAAGTCAGGACAGGAACTCAAACAAGGCAGGACCTGGAGGCTGGAAGCTGACGCAGAAGCCACAGAGGAGTGCTGTTTACTGACTTTCTCCTCATGGCTTGTACAGCCTGTTGGGTTTTAGCTAATTCCAGATGTAGTCAAATTGACAACCAAGAATCA